ACGATGTCTTAGGTTTACAATCCCTCTTTGATGTCTAGGATACTCAAGGAGTCTTTTGCCTCTAGCCTTTATTTAAAATAAAAAGTGAAACCACATGTTTGGGGGTGAGGCACTGCAGTCCCTTAAGATGTGGGTCTGTGCCAAGGTTGAAGGGTTTCCTTTCATCCCTAACAATCAAATCAGGCTGGCTGACCAGAACCTTCTGCAAAGTGGCTTCCCAGCAAAACTGCGTTACTTAATATTTGCTTTCCTTAGATTCCATTTTATTTTCCGCTCTTTTCCCTTACCCTCAACTCCCTGCACTTTGGTCAGGCTGATCTACACTCCTGGTTCCCCAAATATGCCTTGTAATATCAGCCATCTGTGCCTCTGCTCACACTGTTCTCTCTGCTCAGAAGGAGGTTACCAGTTGCCAGCTTATGGGCTGGAGCTGGTCCACAAGTGTGTTTTATTTGGACTTTACTATATTTTTCTTTTAAATTTGAGCCAACACTTAAAAATCACAAAATTTCACATGAAATTCTGGATTTGTGGCTTCATTTGAAAAAGTGGGAGCTTTGGCAATATCATTTCTGCTTTTATCCAAGGTAGCTGAGCTGTGGCTGTCCTTTCTAGATGGGGTATGTATTTAACTGTGATTTTGTTCAAAGAACAAACTTGGCCCCATTCAGTCACTTACATGACTTGAGTGGCTTCTTTGGGTTGGGGTCAAGACTTCTGCTGGGACATGTGGATGACACAAAGGTGAAAGAGACACAGGCTTTGCCCTCTGGGGCATATTATACAACTAAGGAGACAGAGCATAAATATTTGTCAAATTCAGACTAAAAGTGATTGATTTTTATTTTTATTTTTTGAGACAGTCTCCTTCTTTCACCCAGGCTGGAGTGCAGGGGCACAATCTCAGCTCACTGCAATCTCCACCTCCCAGGTTCAAACCATTCTCCTGCCTCAGCCTCCCGAGTAGTTGGGACTACAGGGCCGCACCACCATGCCCAGCTCATTTTTGTATTTTTAGTAGAGATGGGTTTCACCATGTTGAGCAGACTGGTCTCAAACTCCTGACCTCAAGTGATCCGCTGGCCTCAGCCTCCCAAAGTGCTGACGCCAGCTCACCTGGCCTATAAGTGATTAAAAAACCCCACAACAGTTCTTGTGCTCCAGGAATTTACTAGTTGAATATGAGAAAAAATAAATACATGAAATTAAGGATTATATGTTTGAGAGCAAGAGGATGGATAATGAGCAAGTTTTATTCAATGTTTACTATGTGCCAAACAGTTTTCTAATGCTTTATGTAGATTTACTTATTTAATTCACATAACTCTATGAATAGGTGATAGTATTATCTTCAATTTACAGATAAGGAAACCAAATCCTAGAAAAGTTAAGCCTGAGGCTGTGTAGCTGGTAAAATGGGCTTTTCCTGTGTTATTGTAGGATGTACTGTGTTGGAAACATGTGACTTGGGGACCAGCCTGATCCAAAGCATGCTGCCTGTCACCCTTGGGCAAATCAGGGAGCTTCATTAAGCTCCCTGAGTCTTATTTTGATTCTTGCCTGCCTTCTCTAAGAGGGAGATTGTGATGGTTGATGGCAAAGAATGTGAAAGTGCTTCTTTGTAACTAACAAGCACCAAAGAGCCAGGGATTCCCATGGAGCAATTACAAATCTGATTTATCAAAGTATAGGACATTGGTTGGATCGTGTAAACCGGTGAAGTTCTTTTCAATCTGTAGTGAGCCTACAAATCACTTGTGGATCTTGCTGAAGTGTAGATTCTGATTCAGTAAGTCTGGCTTGGGATTCTTCTGTACTTCTAACAAACTCACAGGTGATGATTCTGCTGCTGGTCTGGAGACCAAACTTTGAGAAACCAGGAACTAGTAGAAGGGTCATGGTGCACTAACAGGTCATTTGGAAGGGTGTTGATCTTCCCTCTGGATCTGTCCTCTACTTCCTGGGAATGTTACAAGGACTTCTTAGACTCACTGTCCTGTTTCCATGGGGCCAGCCTGGCCAGAGTCTAATGAGATTCTGATTTTGGAGTCTAGAGCAAAGGAAGGACCCCTTAATATGCGTATTATCAGAGTTCTCAGCAGTGGAGTGCAGCTCTGGCCATCGTTAAAAAGAGTTACTCGATATGAACAGACACTTGTCAAAAGAAGACATTTATGAAGCCGACAAACATATGAAAAAAAGCTCATCATCACTGGTCATTAGAGAAATGCAAATCAAAACCACATTGAGATACTATCTCACACCAGTTAGAATGGCGATCAAACAATCAGAAGATAACAGATGCTGGAGAGAATGTGGAGAAATAGGAACGCTTTTACACTGTTGGTGGGAGTGTAAATTAGTTCAACCATTGTGGAAGACAGTATGGCAGTTCCTCAAGAATCTAGAAATAGAAATACCATTTGACCCAGCAATCCTATTATTGGGTATATACCCAAAGGATTATAAATCATTTATTATGTAAACACATGCACACACATGTCCATTGTGGCACTGCTCACAACAGCAAAGACTTACAACCAACCCAAATGCTCATCAAAGATAGACTGAATAAAGAAAATGTGGCACATATACACCATGGATTACTATGTAGCCATAAAAAAGGATGAGTTCCTGTCCTTTGCAGGAACATGGATGAAGCTGGAAATCATCATTCTCAGCAAAATGACACAAGAACAGAAAATCAAACACTGCATGTTCTCACTTATAAGTGAGTGTTGAACAATGAGAACACATGGACACAGGGAGGGGAACATTACACACTGGGGCCTGTCGGCAAATGGGGGGCTAAGGGAGGGACAGCATTAGGAGAAATACCTAATGTAGATGATGGGTTGATGGGTGTAGCAAACCACCGTGGCATGTGTATACCTATGTAACCTGCATGTTCTGCACATGTGCCCCAGAACTTTATAATAATTTTTTAAAAGTTACTCGACTTTTCATCTGTGCATCTTTGTAACCCAGGTCTTCATAGAAGAGGAGGGTTTGCTGCCTTGGGCAGGACTCCAGTAGGTTTTCATTCATGCCACCAGTACTGAACCACCTACTGTGTCCCTGTTCTGTGCCAGGCATTGGCTCTCTGACCTTAATCTAATAGTATCTCCAATTCCACCATAAACTCTTGTAGAAGGACACACTTGTATGACCCTGCAGTCAGGTTCAGAAGTAAGCTGAGGAATAAATAGAAATGTAATGCCCTTTTCGTGAAGAATGTTTATAACACACAGTTTGTGACCTCCCCAACATCTATTTCTTTCTCCTTTCCTGCTGATGGGGTCTGAGTTTGGTTCAGTTATGTATTTCCTCACATGTGACTCAACTCAGGAGGGTAGCAGTGGCATGCTGGAACCGGCTTGTTGTCAGGAGTTATTGCTAAATTTTAGAAAGTTTGACAGTTAAGCATAGCCTTTCTTTTTTACTTTGTATTTATTTTTATTTAAAAAGTTTTTAATGGAGACAGGTCTTGCTATGTTTCCCAGGCTGGTTTTGAGCTCCTGGCCTCAAACAAATCTCTCACCTCAGCCTCCCAGTGATGGGATTACAGGCATGAGCCACTGAGCCTAGACTTTTTTTTTTTTTTAAGTCAGGGTCTTGTTGTGTTGCCCAGGCTGTAGTACAGTGATGCCATAATAGTTTACTGTAACCTTGAGCTCTGAGAACATAGCCATTCTTAAAAATGAAATTACAGGCTGGGTGTGGTGGCTCACAACTGTAATCCCAGCACTTTGGGATGCTGAGGCAGGTGGATTACTTGAGGTCAGGAGTTCGAGACAAGCCTGACAAACATGGTGAAATCCATCTCTACTAAAAACACAAAAATTGGCTGGGTGCAGTAGCAGGTGCCTGTAATCCCAGGTACTCGGGAGGCTAAGGCAGAAGAATTGCTTAAACCTGGGAGGCAGAGGTTGCAGTGAGCTGAGATTATGCCATTGCACTCCAGACTAGGTGACAGAGGAAGACTTTGTCTCAAAAGAAAAATTATGTAAACTTATAATTTACCAAATTGTATTAAAAAGGTAACACAAAACTCTCACTTCCTACTTTTAATAGATTTCACTATTACCTATGCTTTTAAGATTATTCATGTCAATTATATCTACATGGGGGAAATAACTGATAATGGTATGCTACTGCTTATCTCTTCCAAACTCTGTGTCCAGTGATGTCACATTGGTAGCTTGAAATTTGCCATGGTAGATGTATTTACACCACAGAAATTGGCACATGCTATAGGATTTTGATGTTATTATTTCCTTGATGAGCCATTGAACAATCCTATCCCTAGTTTCAGGGCAAAAGCTAATTGTTCTAAGTTAAACACAATACTGTATTTCCCTTCTTTTAGACATGTGACCCAGTGCTGGCCAATGAGACAAGAAAGTTGTTTGGAGAATTTCTTAGAAAGTTTTTTTTCTTTTTTGCTTCTAAAAAGGAGACACAGCCAGGCGCAGTGGCTTACACCTGTAATCCCAACACTTTGGGAGGCCAAGGCGAGTGGATGGCTTGAGTCCAGGAGTCTGCAACCAGCCTGGGTAACATGGCAAAACCCTGTCTTGCCAAACTTTAGCTAGGTGTGATGGTGCATGCCTATAGTCTCAGCCACTTGGGAGGCTGAGTGGGGAGAATCACCTGAGCCTGGGAGGTCAAGGCTGCAATGAGCTGTGATCACATCATTTCACTCCAGCCTGGGTAACACAGTGAGAACCTATCTCAAAACAAAAGAGACAAACAAAAAGGAGGCACAGGATAGAAATGGAGATGGGCTCTGTTTCTAGTCATGTGGTCTTAAGATGGGATGGTTGTGGGACAGCTGGACCTGCAGCCAGTATCTTCTAACAACGACAAGTCAGGAGGAACATGTTTGCATTAACATGCCTTTTTTTCTTTATTTTTGTTTTTTTTTTTTTTTTTTGGACCCATATTCAGAGAAAAAGAGTCCAACACGTATTTTTTTTTTTTTGTATTTTCTCTTCTAGAGGGGACCCTGATAGGTGTGACATCTGGGGAAACACTCCTCTACATTTTGCAGCCTCCAATGGCCATGCCCACTGTGTCTCATTCCTGGTCAACTTTGGTGCCAACATCTTTGCCCTGGATAATGACTTACAGACTCCGCTGGATGCTGCCGCCAGCAGGGAGCAGAATGAATGTGTTGCTCTCCTGGACAAGGCTGCCACTGCCCAGAACATCATGAACCCCAAGAAGGTTGCCAGGCTGAAGGAGCAGGCTCAGAAGAATGCCAGGAGGCAGATCAAAGAGTGTGAGCGGCTCCAGGAGAAGCACCAAAATAAGATGGCCCGTACCTACAGCAAGGAGGAATCTGGGACTCTCTCTTCTTCCAAGGGCACCTTCTCCAGGTCATCCCCTTCAAATGCTTCTGCTCCTGGCACATTTGGGTCACTATCTAAGGGTATCAAAGACACTTTCAAGATCAAGTTCAAGAAGAACAAAGATACAGCAGAACAGGTGGGGAAGGAAGGCAGAAGTGGGCAGAGGAATGTGATGGAAGTGTTCAGAGAGGACGAGGAAGACTCCTTCTCAGGGGACTTCAAAGAGAAGCTCCAGTTGTCGGCAGAGGAGGACAGCAGTGTGCACCGTGAATCCATTCTCAATCGTCCAGGTCTAGGAAATATTGTTTTTAGAAGGAACAAATTATCAAGTCCTGAAGACATCTCAGATAGCGAGAGGGAGTTGGGGTTTAAACTGCCCAGTGAATTGCTTCAAAGACAAGGAGCAGCAGCAGCTGATGAGGACGCAGCTGATGAAGAGGGAGAGAAAAACAGCATCAAAGATGATCTGCCGTGGGATGAGGATGAAGTGGAGTGGGAGGAAGACGTGGTTGATGCCACGCCCTTGGAAGTGTTCTTGCTGTCTCAGCACCTGGAAGAATTCCTGCCTATCTTTATGAGAGAGCAGATTGATCTAGAAGCTCTGCTGCTCTGCTCTGATGAGGACCTTCAGAGCATACAAATGCAGTTGGGTCCCAGGAAGAAAGTTCTAGATGCTATCAACAGGAGGAAGCAGGTGCTACAACAGCCTGGGCAGCTGGTCGACACCAGCCTGTGATGGAGAGCCTTGGAGGGCAGCACTGGGGTGATGCTGTGGCCTGCTGGTCGCACTCTAGGCAGCACTCCCTCTCTACCCAATGCCAGATCACTGGGAATGGATTCTAGGGCATTTGAGATGCTTACCTGAGAGAGAGGCCCAAACTTTACTCTGGGAAGTAGACTATGCCCATCCAAATAAATCACCATGAGAAACTTGAGGAGATTTCATAACAATAAAATGGCATTTCTCTTCAGTTATATACATATGTATAATTTTTTTTTTTTTTAGTTGAGAGTCTTACTCTCTCACCCAGGCCGGCGTGCAAATGGTATGATCATAGTTCACTGTATTCTTGACTTCCTGGGCTCAAGTGATCCTCCCACCTCAGCCTCCCAAGTAGCTGGGACTACAGGTGTGCACCCCCACACCTGGCTTATATTGTATGTTTTAGTAGAGGTGGGGTCTTTCCATGGTGCTTAGACTGGTCTCAAACTCTTGGCCTCAAGCAGTCCTCCCAAAACACTGGGATTACAGGTGTGAACCACTGTACCCAGCCTATCTTTTTGATACTTCTGAATAAAGAAAGTGTCATATGCATGACAGGAAAATGAAACTTTCTTTACTTTTCTATGTCTGGATTTAAAATTACAATCTCATCACATTATCCTGCTGCTTGCTTTCTGATGTGTATAACCTGGGGATTATAACTCTTTTTCTGTACTGAGCTCTATGGCTTTGCCTAGTGGTAGAGACTAAAGCTATTCCCTGGCCTGAGGCTTGATGCCCAACTTAAATGCATCTAACCCTTTAACAAATGTGTACTTGTTTACAAGTAGTGGAAATGGGTCTATAATACTCCTGCCTGAGAATAGAGACAGAGTGGTAGTGGGGAAAGTGAAGAAATAGAATACAGGGTACCTGTTGTGGACTGAACAGTGTCAAATTCATATGTTGAAGCTCTGACTCCTAATGTGACTGTATTTGGAAATAGGATCTTTAAAGAAGTGATTAAGGTTAAATGAAGTCATAAGAACAAGACCCTAATCCCAAATGACTGGTGACCTTTTATTCTTTTTTTTTTTTTTTTTTTCTTTTTGAGATGGAGCCTTGCTCTGTTGTCCAGGCTGGAGTGCAGTGGCACAATCTCAGCTCACTGTAACCTCTGCCTCCCAGGTACAAGCGATTTTCATGCCTTAGCCTCCTGAGTAGCTGGGATTTCAGGCATGCACCACCATGCCTGGCTAATGTTTTTGTATTTTTAGTAGAGACAGGGTTAGCCAGGCTGGTCTCAAACTCCTAACCTCAGGTGATTCAGCTGCCTTGGCCTCCGAGAGTGCTGGGATTACATGTGTGAGCTACTGCACCTGGCCTAGGGCTGGTGTCCTTCTAAGAAGAGGAAGAGACTTGTAGGTGGAAAGCATACAGAGGCCATGTGAGGACACAGTGAGAACCTCAGGCCGCCGTCTGCAAGCCAAGAAGAGGGGCCTCAGGAGAAACTAACCCCGCCAACACCTTGATCTTGGACTTCCAGCTCCGAAGGTGTGAAAAAATAAACTTCTATTGTTGAAGGCACCCAGTCTGTGGCGTTTTGTTACGACAGTCGTAGCAGAATAACGTTGTCCTAAGTAAGAGGGTGAGGGAGGAGACCAAGAAGGATACAGGAAAAAAAGTGTCTGGCCAACTGATGAGTTATTTAAGGGTAAACACCCACTGAAACTTAAAAAAGGAAAAAAAAATCTAAGTTCTTTGGAGGGAAGATTTGATCATAAAAGGAAATTCCACATCTTCATGCTTATTATGTACGTATGGTTTATTTGCTGTTGTCTGTCACACTGCCGCATATCTGAATATGTGTAGGTTCCATGATAGAAACTGACAACACCTGGCTCATGCCTGAAATCCCAGCACTTTGCAAGGCCAAGGTGGGCAGATCACCTGAAATCAGGAGTTCGAGACCAGCCTGGCCAACAATGCAGATACCTGTCGCTACTAAAAATACAAAAATTAGCTGGGCGTAGTGGCGTACGCCTGTAATCCCAGCTATTCGGGAGGCTGAAGCAGGAGAATTGCTTGAACTGAAGAAGCAGAGGAGGTTGCAGTGAGCTGAGATCATGCCACCACACTCTAGCCCGGGGAACAAGAGTGAGACTCCATCTCCAAAAAAAGAAAAAAAGAACCCGACGACACTGCTGCTAATATTTATTCAGTGGCAATCCCAAATTTGAATTGAAACCCCACTGAATAGCTAAGCTTCATTAGCTTTCTACAGCCTGACTTACATCAAGTGGAATTTACTGTTGATTCTGGGTAAAATGCAGAAACAGCTGTTTATATTCAGCTTGCTTTCTGATGCACATCTGTTTGGGTTACTTCAAGAGGCATCACGGAGGAGTCAAGCTTTGGGAGGATACAAATGCTCAAATCTGATACACAATTGGCTCATTCTCCCTCAAAGAATAAATTCAGAAAGCTTGTTAGTCATTGAATAAATACATTGCATTAGGGGATGATTATGTTTACAAATACCATATCTTGTTCTGGAATAAACTGAAGCTGTGCTTGCGTTCATTAATGGGCACAGAAGCAGTTGGCAAATAGAAAGCGCTCGAAAAACATTTGTAGTCTGAGCCTGCCACTATTATATTTCATCATCATAGATGTCAGGATTCCCTCTTCACCCATTGCCCAAAATCTGCCTAATGAGATGCTTGCTCCACCTCCTGCCCTCGCTGCATGATAGCAAGAGAGCCATCACTCAGGCTGGTAGAAATGACCCTGAACACTGACTCTTATCCCTCTTTGGGAGAAGTTTGCCACTAGGGGTCTCATCAAGTACCTTTATGCTCATGTTGGGGGTTCTATTATTTTATGATTGACAGAATTCACAGGTGAGCATTCTCCGAAGTTCTCAGCATCAAGGATCTAGCCTCTTGATGCTGAGAACTTCCCATCACAGAGTATTGTTATATAATAAAAAAAAAGTTTCCATCATGTTATAAGAGGTTATCAATGTTCTAAGAATTCCGTATCGTTCAAACTAAATGCCAGCTACAGGGGCCTAAGAGAAGATGCCAGAGCAATATAAAGGCCTTGATGGGAGACAAAGACAAGAGGATTATGATCTAGGAGGGGTTTCAAGTACTCACTGATCTCAAACCTCCATCTCTTAAACTAGATGTTTAGAATAGCTCAATCCAATAATATCTGATTGCGCCTACCACCTCCCTTTTCTCCTCTTTTTCTCCTCTATGTAGCTTGAAATAAGAGTCAACGAGGGGGAAAAGCAGTTGGGAGCATTTCACTGAAGAGAGTTTGAGAAGTTATGTTGTGGTAGATGTGTGTTGTGCTTATATTTCAGGCCATTGTGTAAATCAGGTCAGTTATATGCTCATAATTCCTAAGTCCGAGTCACCAGCCCAGACCATTGCTTTGGGCACCAAATCCAGATAAGTCCAAGTCTTACCTGACATCTCTTCTCTCATGTCTCACCAGTACCCCAAACTCGTGTCCAGGACTGAACCTATTTTCTTCCAAGCTGGCAGTTCTCCACCTGGGTGATTTTGCCCTTTGTCTCCTAGAGGACATCTGACAATGTCTGGAGTCATTTTTGATTGCCATGATAGGGGAACAGTGGTGCAATGGACATCCATTGGGTAGAAACAGTGGGTGCTAAACATCCTAGAATGTGTAGGACAGCCCACCATGACAAAGAATTATGCAGACCCAAACAGTGATTGTGCTCAGTTTCAGCTGCATTGAAACATACAGCTCTAAATCTCCATTTTTCATAAATAGAAAATTTAACCCAGTACTTCTTTTTATCATCCAGTTGGTCACCAGGCCCTTTCAACTTTTTAGTATGTCTCAAAGCAAAATTCTCTTGGATGTTTGCAAGATGACCTATTGGTTCATGCCCCAACCATCACTCACTGAATTGCTGTAAGTATCCTTATCTGTCTTTAATTCATTCTCCACAAGGCTGGTTGAGTCATGCAATCTTTTTAATATGCAAGTCTCCTGTCACTTTCTACCTTCCCATTCCTTTTCTTACTTTCTTTTTTTTTTTTCTTTTTTGAGACAGAGTTTCACTCTTGTTGCCCAGGCTGGAGTACAATGGCATGATCTCGGCTCACCGCAACTTCTGCCTCCTGGGTTCAAGCAATTCTCCTGCTTCAGCCTGCCAAGCAGCTGGAATTACAGGCATGTGCCACCACGCCTGGCTAAATTTGTGTTTTTAGTAAAGATGGGGTTTCTCCATGTTGGTCAGGCTGGTCTCAAACTCCCAACCTCAGGTAGCCTCCCAAAGTGTTGGGATTAGAGGCATGAGTCACTACATTCGTCCCCTGTCGCTTTTCAAACTCTCACCACCACACAGGAGACCCTCATGATTAAGGAGCCCTATTCTCTCCTCCAAACCTCTGGTCCCATCTCTAACCATACCTCTCCCTGTCCCCTAATTTCAGCTATACTAGATTTCTGGTGGCTTCCTGAACACATGCCTCTCACATGCCTGTGTCTTGGCACACCATCACCCCTCTGCCTGGAAAAGCCTTCCTCCATGCAGCCACCCTCGCTGGGAGACACAGCCTGTCTCTCTGCCCCTAGTCTGGATTGAAGAACTTCCTATCTTTGAAAGCTGTCTTCTGTTTGCCTATCCAGAACTTCTCTCTACTATTTTCCATCCTACTTTGTGTCCAGGTGGTTGGCCTCTGAACTGCATCAAAAAATTCCCTTGTCCTTAGGATCCTGGTTGGGTTTGGCCAACGGGAGGTACTAACAAGAGACCAGAAAGTGGAAGGAAGGAAGAAAGATTGAGGCATTTATTCCATCTGTTTCTTCCATTCAGGGAAGCAGCTGCCTTCATCTAAGCTCGCATTTCCCATCTGGCAGCCCTCTGCAATAGCTGGAGTTGTTTCTGGGTTTCACTAACCACTCTTTCAAGCTTAGCAGTGGTAGCAATTTCCTACTATTGCTAACCCTGGGGTGCTTCTTCCTAAACAGTCTCTTTATTAAATTCTCTTCAATCACGCCTTTTGAGTTTGGCATCTACAGATGGTTCCTGACTTAGAATGGTTCAACTTAAGATTTTTTTACTTTACCGTGGTGTGAAAGGGATATGCATTCAGTAGAAACTGGTAAGATATTCTCTCTGGATGCTGGGCAGAGGCAGTGAGCCACAGCTCCCAATCAGCCACGTGAACATCCAGGGTAATCAATTGATAGTGTACAGTGTTACGAGCTGATTTTGCCCAAATATTTTAAATGCATTTTTGACACATTTCCCACTTTTTTTTTTGAGACAGAGTCTTCTTCTGCTGCCCAGACTGGAGTGCAGTGGCATGATCTTGGCTCACTGGAACCTTCACCTCCTGGGTTCAAGCAATTCTCCTGCCTCAGCCTCCTAGGTAGCTGGGATTACAGACATGCACCACCACGCCCAGGCTAATTTTTGTATTTTTAGTAGAAATGGGGTTTTACCATGTTGGTCAGGCTGGTCTCGAATTCCTGTGATCCTTGTGATCCACCTGCCTTGGCCTCCCAAAATGCTGGGATTACAGGCGTGAGCCACTGCGCCTGGCCCCAACTTTTTCTTAAGACAAGTTCTCACTCTGTTCCCCAGGGCTGGAATGCACTGGAGCAAGCTTGGCTCACTGCAGCCTCTGCCCCCAGGTTCAAGCAATTCTCCTGCCTCAGCCTCCCAGGTAGCTGGACTACAGGTGCATGCCACCACACCCAACTAAGTTTTGTATTTTTAGTATAGCCAGGGATTTACCATGCTGCCCAGGCTGGTCTTGAATTCCTGACCTCAGGTGATCCTCCTGCCTCAGTCTCCCAAAGTGCTGGGATTACAGGTATGAGCCACAGCGCCTGGATACATATTTCCAACTTTTGGTGGATTTACTGAGACAGGACATCATAAGGCAAGGAATATCTGCATTTCCTGCAGGGACCCTGAACCATGTTCCCGTAACACCAAATTACTGAACTGTAATTTTTTTTAATATCTGTCTTCTCTTCGGGAGTGCGTTCTCTGGGGCTGAGGACTACTTTTCTGTTGTATCTTAGTATCCTAGCACAGGGTTATGATAGGGGCTCTTGTGAAAAGAATGAAAGAAAAATATATGAATATTCTCATCATTCCACGCTCTTCTCTATACATCCTTTAGGGTGATGACCATTAGGCTTCCCCAGAAAGACTCCACAGTCATTTGACATATGCAGAATCGGGTCATGTGGGTGTTTTATTTCAGCACAAAGGCCCCTGTACAGACAGTCTGGCAAATATGATAAACTTTTGGCTAAGCCACCTGGAGCATGAAGAGTCCTTGCCAGGAGGAGTATGGGTGGGAAAACAGCCAAGCATGCTTTGCTGCTGACTTATCTGAAAACCAGCCTTGGAGTAGAGATAAGGGAAGGGGTGGAGTGAGGCTAGGGTCAGAGTGGGATTTGGACAGGGCCTTTGGCAGGACAAGGACAACACAGTTCTGCTAGTGATTCAGGGTCGGTGGGGGGTGCCTGGAGAAAGCATCTCTGTACCTCAGTTTCCCCATCCATAAGATGAAGATCGACTA